GTGGATTTTATGACCTGGTGGGTTTTTACCGAAACTGTTTTGACTGGCGGATTAACAGACCCCACTCTCTGAAAACTGGACTCTGTCCATCAGTTAACACAAATCATATTTCACCCTTTTAAATCTCCCCGGGTTACACACTCATCAGCCATAGGGTATATAAGAAAGAGTTGAAGGAAGAGGTGTCCACTGTTTCTAAGGAGAGACTGGGAATCCTGCAGGTAAGAGAATTTCCATTTCCACCTTCGTGCAGTTCTTAATCTGATTTGAATTATGTCATCTTCATTTCTCTTCTCCTTCATTCCTCTCTTCCTCTTCCTTTTGTTCTTTTCATGATTCTAATTTCCATTTGCCAACAAAAACGATCATTCTTAACTATGGGGACAAACACAAACACTTGAGACAAATCTGACTTTCCTTTTTAAAGTCTTGAACTGTCATTAAAGGTTCCCATCAACTACTGTAGTGTGCGTCACTCTGATCAATACTGTACTCTGCTCAATGACTTCCCTTCTTCACTGTAATCAATGATCAATAGTCTACTCTGCTCAATGGCTTTCCTTATTCACTGTAATCAATGATCAATACTGTTCTCTGCTCAATGGCTTTCCTTCTTCACTGTAATCAATGATCAATACTGTACTCTGCTCAATGGCTTTCCTTCTTCACTGTAATCAGGGATCAATACTCCACTGTGCTCAAGGAATTGAGTAAATCTGGAGCAAAAGCATATCCTGATCTACACCTGTGTCAGGTCCTTGTATAATCAATGCATTTGATTCTAATGTACTCTAACAGCACTTGGTCTGCCTGAGCAGGTTATTGTAGGTTGAATCAGGGTGTCCAGCCTCCGACAGGTGGTTTATACCGAAATGTTCCAATGTCACCTGCCTGCCCTGTTCCTGAAGATCTGTATGCTCCTCCATGCATTTCCCACACTTCTTCCTCGTGGCCCCATGGACGTTTTGCAGAGCCGTGTCCTGTCTTGTGCTCCCTCCCAGCTGGCTCAAGCATGTCTCCCATGGCCCTGTGTCTGGCAATGCTGTGCTGGGCGGCCCTGCGCTGTCGAGCCGACTGCGGCCTGGCCAACATCTCCATTCCTGTGGAGAACGAGGAGTGCAGCCGCTGCATCACCGTCAACACCACCTCCTGCGCCGGCTCCTGTCCCACTCAGGTAGGTGACAGCTGAGTCTCCCACTC